AGTCTATAGCAAGAGTTCCAACTTGAACTCATAGGCAGTAATATGCCACGGACTTCCATCTATCCTTAGGCTTAGAGATAAATATAAAGAACTGCATTCGTTGAGGCTCTACCTCTGCTAGTTACCTTCTGCATCCAAGAGCACAATATGTTAAAGGTAAGTCATAGTGGTGGCATACACTCTAAATATCCCAAGACTAAACTGGATGGTCTCCATGAGACTACTAAGCATTCATTAATGCTTATTAATGTAATAATTATACTGGTCACTTTTTCATTCACCAATTTGTGCTTCTCTAAGAGAAAAACAGCAGTACTGTATCAACATTGTGGAAATAAACCTAACAGAAAAGCTGGAGGACATGGTGAGAACACCATTAGCTATCAAGTTCGTTGTTGTTTACACAGCCTCTGCTCCCATGTCGATTGACATGGACCATCCCCTCATAGTTCCCTACTTCTGTAAAATGAGATTCTGAACGAGATAACAGATTGTGGAAGTAGCTCTCACTGTGGCTGATGAAAGTTCTTGTACCAGGAGAGGATTTTTTCTAGTCCTTGTTCTTCTTTCAGATTGTGGAAGTAGCTCTCACTGTGGCTGATGAAAGTTCTTGTACCAGGAGAGGATTTTTTCTAGTCCTTGTTCTTCTTTCAGATTGTGTCCTCATCTCAACTGCAGGTTTCTGCTCTTTGTCATTAATTCTATATGGTCTCAGAAAGTGTCCGTCAATGAACATAGTATACAATTACTAATGAATACAACAGAACAAAGAATGGTTTGCAAATGAGTAAAATGAATAGAATATAGACAGCGATAGATTGAAGACTTAAGCACATATGTAAAACAAAGAGTGTTAACCTTTATTTCTTATACATACACTGAGAAAATGCTAGGTTGTCACTAATGCTGTGTGGTTTCTTAGTATTCATAATTTATCTGACTTTCGAAGCTGAAAAGACAAAGTGGCATTTATGCAAGACTGGGATGCAATGACTTAAATAGTCATGAATTTCACCCGTCTATAAATGATATAGTATATATCTTTATTCGGGTATATTTATGTAATATTTTTCTAAAATTTTATCAGTTTCTGCATGTATTTATGGTATTTTCATTGACCAGATGTCTCAAAGTCGTGAAACATGAACTAATTATTTGAATTTGATGACGAGGAACCCACTTTTGTACAGGTAAAAGCCACATACTTGCAAAATTTGTTCTTGAGTTTCAATTTATCATATATGTACCTCTGTATAGACTTATTGGAAGGTAGCCTATTCAAGGAAGCAATACAGAATCCTGTACAACTGGCTTCGCTTTAAATTATCTTACTTTATTTTGATAGAGTATTTAAGTAAGGAATTTCTTTAGACCTGTCATTTGATTGTGTTCCTGGTCTATCTCTGGTTTTGTAGCTGTCAACCCTAGCAGTCAATGATACAGAAGAAGAAGCCCAGGCAGTTTTGGTAACGAAACATTGCGTTTATAATAGATTATATTATGATTCAAGTTACACTTACAGTTGCCTATTTTCCTCTACTGTCTATGTTCAATATATTCTTTGCTAAATAGTACTGAACCTGCATTTTGCTGGAGCTTTTGGATTTTCTGCTCAATATCAATGTACCTGAATACCACATTAGTAATAATAATTGTATTCTTAATAATATTGTGTTCTTAACCCTATGTGCACAGGTGGAGATCAAAGTGCACTTGCCACGGTCTTTTACAGAGTGCCATTCAACATATTATTAAGTATTTGATATTAGAGTTATGAACTATGCATTTTACCCATCTTGCTTAACTACCAACAGTTCTTGGTAGAGGACAGAATACAAGGATATTGAAAAAAATCTAGATATATATTCCACAGGTTCTAGAGGATACGCAAATGCAATATGAAAACGATATGATGGACAAAAGTATTATTATTTTTCATGCGAACATCATCTTGCACTTCGACTTCTCAGAGTACGAGTCAGACTGACGTCGTCAATTCAGACATTTCTGAAATACAAATACCAATGTAACTCATCTGGCTTTGGTTGTTTGTTTTTTACAAAAGACTTGTATATTTTTCTAAAAGCCTGCCACATTTCGTGTATCTATACGTAGTAAATTCGAAATTGTAGTCAATATTCATTCTCCAATACGGGTCGGTCAAACGGACCGAGCCCATACACATTCGGTCAATAAAATCTCGTTCATTCTCACTAAAATTAAATGTGTTAGATACTTGCTTTGGAATAAATTAATCACTGTTGGTAAAATATTGTTGTTGTTTACAATAAGCCAAGTAAATGTGTTATATTTTAATTGTTTTCAACCTGCAAGATTTACACTTACTTTTGTATATTAATATGTATTCAATAAGGAAGGGGCAGTGTTACTACAGCGGAAGTCACGTGACGCTAGTAACACGTCATGAGCTTCTAGAAAATTCATGTCTCTTCGTGAAGCCTCGAGTGTTTACTAGATGTGTGGTATTCTTGTATATAAGACCGCCAAGAAGTGACGGCAACTATGTAATTGAACTGCAGACAGAGATAGAGACGAC